TATGTCTGAACCCAGAAACCATGGTGAAGTGTGGTAAGGATGGATTCTGTGGAACCACACAGGGAAACAGTGGGATGTTCTAGAGTTTCCACACTTCACCATGGCTTGTTGTAGCACCTGAACCCAGAAAGCACACTTTGGTGTGGTTTCCACGTTTCTTCAAGATTTCTGTGCAAACTGCAGCTGCACCTGCAGTAGCTCCTCTTACCTGCACTTGTCACTGTCCTGCCTAGCAGTGCTCTGATTGACCACCGTGTGCTCATTCTTTTCCTTTTTCCATGTGCTGCCTGGATGCCAACCTGGACCTTCAGATTTCAGCAGCATTGGGCCATCGTGCCACATTGCCGCAAGCAGCATCGGCCTTGGGGATGGCCATGCCTGGACTTGCATTTGGTTGCTGCAGGTTGTTGGGCAGTACCTGGAAACTGCCTAGCATCTGGTTTATTCATGCAGCCAATGCTTTTCTCTTGTGGAAGTTGCCTCCACAAGAGAAGCATGCAGACTGCACCTGGACATCACCAGCTGGGTACTCACTCTGGAAAGCCCTTGCCTCCCACTCTATCTCCCACCTTCTGCTATCTTGCCCCTGGTGTTTCTTGGGGCTGTCAGCAAGCCCCACTAACCCCTGCCCTCTGACACCGCTGCAGGGCACATTCCCAATGGCCAGGCAAGAAACTTTCCCAGGCAAGTGCCCAATGTGCTTCGTGGGGAAAGGCTTCCTGGCACAGGTGCCTGCAGTGTGGGAGATGCCCCTTCCAACATACGCAGGTCCTGTGCACAGAGGGACATGAGCACATGTGCAGCAAGGGAGGAGGTGTGGGCGTGTGTGGGCACACAGTGACACAGGGCACGACAGCACTCCTGTAGTGCTCCTCGAGAGCAGCAGTGCCACTCCAGTGAGTAAGCAGTTGCTGCTTCTGTGCAGCATGGAAAGCAAACTCCAGCAGCACTTAGCAGAGGCCGTGCTCCATTAAGCACGTGGGCCGTTGAAGGAAAGGGAGGCCATGTAGGCAGGAACACTGCATGCTGGGATTGATGTTCAACCATGGGGGCTGATGGGATAGCAGCTGCCATTAGGAGGAAATATGGAAGAGGGTGGAAAGCACTTGAGCATGGAAACTATGCTCCTGTCTGAACCTGGTACCCAAAGTGGGGTCCTATGCCATGTGGTGAGCATGCTGCGTGGGTCAGCACTGTGTGTGAATGCTTCCCAGGAATGCGCCCTCCTTTCTGGTCCCTGGCCCAAACTTGTTCTTTTAAGATCTCGTTTTCAAATCTGGCAGTATGAGTTGCTAGAATTATCATTCTTCGTGGTCTCTGTGCAATCACATGAATGGGCTTTGCCATGCAGCAGAAGGCCTGGATCGGAGAGAAAAACTTTGAAAGCTCAGCGGAACGGAGTGGGCGGGAGCCCTCCCACCCCTTCTGGAAGTCCGGATGGGGGAGGGGTCCTTCCCAGTCCCCCAGTTGCATTTGGCTGCACACGCAGTCACTCACAGATCGGAACTTCTCCGCTCAGCGAGCTGTCGTTTTGCCTCTCCTGCTTTTTGCTTCTAATATTAAAAACAAATCTTGCTCTTCACAGTTTTCTCTAACCCTCAAAGCTCCGCCTGCTCACCGAGGCTGTTTCCCAGCACCTCCCACCTCTCCCTTCCCGCCTAGCCTCCTTGCCCGTCTCCATGTGCTTCCCTGGCTTGGCCCTCATGGCTGACCAGGTTTTCTCCATTGCTCCTCCTGCACCGCCCGGATTCCTGCAGGGGACAGCCATACCCACTGCCTCCTTTGCCTGCAAGAGGGACACATGGCCAGGCATTCAGAAAACAAACCCTCCAGCAGAGTTTTAGTAGTGTACAGCTCTTACTGTCAGTAACTCATCTTTTAGGAAGGAGGAAAGATTAAAAAGCAGAAAAAACCTTCCCACACTCAGAATATTCAGCTGCTGAGGGAAAGGATGTGGGTCTAGAGCAGGGGCCGACAACCTTAAACACTCAAAGAGCCTTTTGGATCTGTTTCCCACAGAAAAGAAAACACTGGGAGCCACAAAACCCTTTTGATATCTAAGATGAAGATAACTGCATATATCGTTTTTTACCTTTATGCTATGTATAAAAAACTGGTGTGTTGCATTTATGAAATCAATGAACTGCTACAGAGAAAGCAAATTTTTATTTCTGCATGCCACAAAAACATATTAAGCATACTGATAAACCAGTCTCATCAGCAGTGAAAGCAAATGAATCTGCCCACATACCATTAAACTTTCGGTTTTCTCCTGAAACTTCTTTTCTTGGATTTATTCATGGTTGGCCTACCAGGGGTCGAAAAGCTCAATAAATCCAGCGGGTGTTGCACATTAGTGGTTGTGACGCGTATTTGTTGTGACAGGAGCTGCAGCAGAGGAATGAAAGAGCCACATGTGGCTCCGGAGCCGCGGGCTGCCGACCCCTGGTCTAGGGAAAGAAGCGAGTCAGGTCGCAGAGCTGAGGTTGAAAGCCTCAGCCTCATTATTAGTTGAATCTAAGCAGTGCCTCAGTTTAGCTACTTAATGTTGTTTCCTCCTTTGTCTGTTGACTCTACTCACAGGGACAACCCCATGGCTGACATTTACGGTGCAAACCTCTACAACCGATACCTCCAGGCTCAGGCTGAAGTCAGCGTAACTGCTATGGCAGCGGAAAGTGAGGAACGTCTTGAAGCACAGAGAGAGCACAGTGTCCCAGTCAGTTCTGCAAAGAGTTGCCAGTCTATACTGGTCTGTACTGGGGTCTACAATCCCTATGGAGATGTGCCTACGGGCCGCAATGAGAATATACTGGAGACTGTGTTCCATGGGCATCGAGACTTCCATTTTGATCCAAGCTTGGTGGAGGCCTCTCACATTGTTCATGATGTGAATGATGCTGTGGAACTTGTACTTCAGAAGGAGAACTGGACAAGAGAATGAGCTCTCTCTTCTCACCGGCACGTAATCTGGAGGCACAGGGACAGAGGCAGATCTGTGCTCTTTCTTGTTTAATCCAAGCCAAAGTAAAGGAAAATCTTCCAGTTGTTTTTCTTTTTTCAAAGGATTTCATAAAAATTCCTGTAATCTTTGTCAGCAGGGTGCCTGGTAGGGCTGCAACCCTCTTAGGCTGAAATCCTAGCAAGTGACCAGTTTGCAGTTCCATTCTTTAGCTGGTATATGTGTTCTTGGCTGGAGAGGAGACGGTGCTCCCTCAGGTCTGCTATACTAGCAGCTATCACAGCATCACGAGGGAGGCTGCTTTGGGGGTTTTACTTCTTCCAGATGTGCCTGAACTCTACAGATACTAAAATGGTCCCATCAGGTGAGTTGTGTACATGGTCCAGAACCTCTTCCTCAGGTAGCATGGCTGCTTTATTCCCTGTCAGTCAAAAACATAATCTTTGCTTGCCATGAGCAGTATTACCCCTTCCACAGTACCATGGCAGGCATGTCTTGGGAATACAGGGTTCCAACTGTAGGGTATGCCCCATGATCCAAGCCAAAATTTGGTTCAGTGTCCAGAGGTGTGTTATTTGGGAAGAAACCAGAAACCACCTGCAGAGGAATTTTTAACAGTTCCAGTTTTAAAGAAAATTGGGCAAGAGTGAAAGAAATATATTACCAAATTGTAGAATGGCTTTAACTGCCATGAATTATTCAAGGCAAGGCTAGAATTTGGGAATACTTACTATTCTGCTTCTTCTCCTCCAAATGGAATGTTCAAACAAACAAATATCTTCAAACAAATATTCTCCTGAAGTATTTTCAGATAGTATTTTAGCACCTGTTTGGTTTCATGGTTGGGTACATACTGTATTCATTGTACCTATGTCTGATTTGTCATGGATAGGCTCCCCTTAGAAATCATTGATCCAGTTTAGCTTTCTCCAGGCCAATGTGTTGGACTAACTCCCAGCATACCCTAGCCAGCTGGCCTAGAGACTGTGGCACTGCCTTTGCACACAATTTTGCTTGTGAAGAAGCTTCTCTTTGTATGGAGCAACTCAGTCTAGAAGCTGGACAATGTATGTCTCTAGTTCCCTTTAATACAAATGTTCCAGGTCACTTTTACCCTTTCTGGAAACTTCCATCAGAGGCCACAGGATTGCGCTGCCAAGGCAGCAGAAACAATGTTCAATTTCTTGTAGCTTTTAATTGATGATACTGAAATGTTGTTCATGGAAAGTAAGACATTTGTGTCCTTCTATTGAATAAGGACAGGTTTTAAATTAACAATTTTTGTTGGATATGGCTCTGTAACACAAGCAATATCCACAGTTTCTTACATCCATGTAATTTATTAAATATCACTCATTTTAAGAAGGGGACTCAGTTGCAGGTATAGGTTTGAACTTTGATTCCTTCTTCCTCATGCCCTTTATTTGTTTTTGAAAATCTCTTAGCCAAATCCTTTCTTGTCAAAATGTAGTACAGTCTATAAATTTAGTTCTTTCCATCCTTGTATTGATTATGTTTCTTTTTTATTTAACTGAAGAAGTGTTTGATGGATTTATATAACAAAAGAAACAATAAAAATGCAATGTGGCAAGTAGAAAAATAGCATCAAAAAACAGATTAGAGCAAGCAAGCATGACCAGATGTAGAACATACGACATGGCACGCATCTTGTGCCTGGAAACTGCTGACTTTTAGTGATAAACTTAAGGGTATTGCAAAAGCAAGTATATAAATTCATCCAAACGGTACATTTGGATTTCATGTTATCTTGCCCTTTCTCCAATCAATAACGCATGGTACCTCTCTCACCTTTTATTAACACATCAGCCCTGTATCTTGGAGTAGGTGGAGAGGTGGCTCCTGCAAGGTAGTCTTACGGCCGGGCAAGCATTTGAGCCCAACTCGCACAGCTCCTAGTCCGTCCAGCACCTTCTACCACTCAGGCTGTCCTGTGCAGTGTTTCTCTCTCAGAATTTGGTTTGTTAGATGATGTGACTTGGAAAACGTCTGCTGTGTGGCATACGGAGCTTCAGCAAGTGTGGCTGCCTGTTTATGGTACTACCATAAATAAAAGCCGCACCCACTCAACAATTATGCTACTTCTGGCAAGATACTCCTGCTGGATGAGTTTTCAAACAAAGCAAGTTTGCTGAATTTGCACAAATTTACAAAAATCAGAGTTAGACAAGAATTGGATTGGAAGAAATGTTTATTTAAATACACAGAAAAATATTTCTTTGGACAGATTCTGCTAGGTAAAAGTTAACAGTTTCTGTTTCTTGTCTTGTATTTTTAAAAATAAATGGTCAGTAAGAAGAGAGTTCAGAAATACACATTAAACAATGGAGAACCAAGCACTCAAATTAAAATGGAAAAACTTGGACAAAAATATGAGTACTGTTTGAAAAAAGGGAGAAGAGGGGTAATAAGAATATCAGGCAGAAAGATGATTCAGTGAAGAAAGGATGGGGAGAAAGGCTCTATGCCTAGTAGATCAGCTATTTTGGCCTGGAAAAAAGGAAACAATACTACTGAAAGAAGAGCAATAAATTAATTGGAATATGCGATGATGATGATGATGATGATGACAATGACGACATACTTCTCCTTTGAGAAAGGGCTGTAGTGTAGGGATAAGAGTGCATATTTTGTATGCAAGAGGCTCCAAGATTCAATTCCAGGCATTTCCAAGTGGAGCTGGGAAAGACCCATGCCTAGAGTCCTTGGACAACTGCTGGCAGTGGAAGACATCTGGTTACCTCTTTCAACCTGAGGGTCAAAGGAAATTCTGGAACAGCTCTGCGGGGTTGGAGTCCAGTGGTAGCTCAAGACAAGAGGAAGAGAGCAGAAACTACAAAAAATGGGGTATTATAAGTTAAGGCTCTTACTGCCAGTAATGAAACCTCAGGACAAGAATATCAACTGTTAGAATAGAAAGACGGAAGCACCAGGGCCAGAAAACAACAACTGGCTGCTGGAGGAATGCAGTGGAGTCAGAAGGGGCAGTGACAGCTAGTGAAGTTGGAATTGGTGGGACAAGATTTTTTCCCTTTCTTTGTGTATAGTATACATTGCTACAGTTGTAGTGGCACTCATATACATCCTGCATGTACTGTCTGTGCACGCACAAACACGCGCGTTTAGATAAAGCAGGCATGCTCCAAGGTGTGCTTGGGAACTGAAAATGATTTGAAATGTTCTAGTCACCAAATAAGATAGGCACTGACCCAGCCAAAAGTTGGTGGTGACTGGTGCCCTCTCTTATTCTCCTTCCTCTTTAGTCACAGGGGCTTATTTTAATGTTATCCTCAACATCTTAGCCTTGTTGGTGAGTCCTGCTGCTACACCTGTCTGTGAAGGGTTTGTGGTGCAGTCACAGTAATTAAGCACAATTTTGGGGACTGTCAAATCTGCAGAAAGATGGAGGGATATTCTGTTCTATAAAAAAATTCAAAGTGACTGTCTTCATGAACTTAATATGTAGCCAACCTCATACCACTTACTCCATTTCCCCAAGTAGCCTGTGTTACTTTTATCATGATGAATGAAATTATACTGGTAAAGTACCTCTAAAATATTTATTGTAGAAATCTCGTAATGACTCATTACTCATAATTACTCATTTATAACTAAAATACTATTATAAATTAATTTTACACCTACATGAATATTTTAATTCTCTTAATTGTGATACCAGTTTCCACATCTAGCAACGAATTCTTTCCTACAAAGCAAATCTATGGGCACTTTTCTACTGTGCTCTGCTCACGCTAAAAGCCTTTCAGCCTCAGCACAGGACAATACACAGTCTCCATACCGCAGGCAGTTGTGAGGCAACAAAGACAACTTCCATCTTGGGAAATCGCTTTCTGCAAGTGACATAATAGGCTGAGATAATCTCCCAAGATTGCCTTGAATAACCTGGAGAGCAATGCTGATTTTCTAGAGACAACTGGGCAAAGCTGGGAGGGTGGCAAGCCATGTTTATACTTTAAGAACTTCAATGTATATTTTTAATGCATCAAGGAATACCAAACAGGTCCATACACGGGCATGTAACCAGATCCCTGGGTGACTATCTCACAGCTTAATGACAGGTTTTTTGTAGAGATTGAAGAAATGGCCTGTTTGCCCCTTGGAAGGAAGGGACTCGTATTTGGACATAATTCCTTGAAGGGAGGGAGGGGACGGAGGGGCCACGTTTGCACACAAATGCCTGCTAGGCCAGGTTTCTGCCTTTTTACACAACCGCTCCTCTGGCAAAAGGGCACCTTTTCTTCCCAGAATGGCAATTGCTTCCTACATGGTCCTGCCCTAACAGAGAAGTCGGCCAGTTGGAGGGATGAAGGATCCAAGGCCCTTCTGAAGCCGCTCTGGGCTTATGCCATTGGCTGGAAATGGCTTTATGACTGCTGGTAGCCTCATCCGAAAGCTTTTCTGGCTGCTTGAAGGAGGGGTCCAGTAGTGGTACGAATAATTTGTCCCCAGCCCAGAGTCAGGGAGCCTTTTCATGTGAGCCATTTGTCTGCAGGTCCTTCCACCTTGTCCTCACAGGATCAGAGAAGCTGAATGAAAAACCGTCTTGAAGCTAGAGACTCGAACATGCTAGAGCACAACCAAAATAAAGCCAGGACGAACAAGTTAAGGCACAGTCTTGAACAACTTCTATATGGAAAAAGGCCTACAGCTCCCAGCAGGGTCAGCTATGCTAGTTGGGGCATGCTGGGAGTTGTAAGCCTTTGTTCCTGTCTAAACTTGCACACTAAGTAGGATTGTATATGTTAGTCATAAAGTCGTGTCCGACCCATTGCGACCCCATGGACAACATTCCCCCAGGCCCTCCTGTCCTCCACCATCCCCCGGAGTCCACTTAAGCTCATGCCAACTGCTTCAGTGACTCCCATCTAGCCACCTCATCCTCTGCTGTCCCCTTCTCCTTTTGCCGGCAATCGTTCGCAGCATCAGGGTCTTCTCCAGTGAGTCCTTTATACTTGTATACTTAGTCACAGGCTAAATCTAAAAATAATTGAGAAATTAACTGCAATTACATCTTCAAATGCATCCTTCTTTTCCTTCTTCCTGTGTTGGGATGGGTTTGAGCAAATCCCACTTGGGACTATGGAAAAGCCTCCCCTGGGAAAGGGTATAGCCATTTAAGAAACCCTGTAAGGTTGGATTTAGCTGACAAGATGGACAAAGGTCTGATTATGTAAACAGAAGCTTTTTATGTTCACACATTAAAGGCAAGAGGCATGATGAAGAGTTGCCAGAAGAGGCAAGACTTCAAAATAAGATGCAGAGTAAGCCAAATGAGCTGTGGAATACAGAATAGGAATGAGGAAAGCAGCTATGAGATCAGAGTTAAGTACATTACAGCAAGTGAGGCAAGAAAGAATTTAAACCAAAATTATCCCTCCTGTTCAACATCTTGGCATGTTAATTCAGGCTTGCTGAGTTACTTACCAGCTCAAGTATGTCATCCATCCTCTCCCACTCAAAGAGCAATTTGCACTTTAAAAAACCTGCATATAATCTGACTTATCTTCTTTTGTCTTTTCCTTCCCCAGCTGCAGGTTCCTGACAGCTCCTGCAAGACATAATTAAAGGTTTTCATTCCTGTGCTTTATTTTAAGCATTCCTCCCCACTTTAAGTCCCCAGATTGTTTTTAATGTGTTCTAAAGGCAAAGTCTTCTTACTGGTTTGTGAGACAAATGTAGAACTTGCCCCCATTTCCTCAAACAACATTAAGATGCTTGCAGTTGTGTCCAGTTGATTTTGGTTTCTTATTCTAAACTTCAAATTTGCTTTCAAAGCGTGATCGGTCTTAGTTCAGTAATTCCAACATAATGTACCAAGGTGGTATTAAGAGACGCTACTGCTTTCCTGTAATTTGACTCATGCAGTACAGCCCAAGATGATGACAATAATGGGGGCTTCTCTCTAGAAACTATTTTTGCTTTTTAATATCAGTTCAGCCTTAAAGTAGATGAAGTAATCATGAAGCTCATAATGCCCTGAGCATATATATATATGCAGGTTACTTTTATCTCATGATCAAGGCTAGTATCAGCCAACAGTCATTTTCAGTTACATTGAAAGTCTCCTGGGTCAATGAATATGGCTTCCTTGTAGGACAGGAGTACAGAACTTCAGGCCTAGGATCCCAAACCAGCCCTTCGAGGTATTCCAGAAAGCCATACCATCTTCTTTTGGTCCAGCTTCCTTTGCCCAGCCATGCTTGCTTCAAATGCAGTTATATGAGGGGTAGAGAACTTCAGCTGTTTTGTCAGCAGCCCCCAGAATCCCTTACCATTGCCCACGTTGGCTAGGATTCATGGAAGTAGTGGGCCAAAACATCTGGAGGGCTCCAAATTGCCCACTCCTGCCTGGCTATTTATTTGAACTTATACAGATTCCACGGGGATGGGAAAGCGGTCTATGATGATACTAAACATTTTTATTTATTTATTTAAAACATCTGTATGCCACCTATTGGGGTATAGCATCTCTAGGCAGCTCACAATCAAGTATTTAACCATAATATAAGGCTAAAACGTGATTATATGACATGACTAAATACGTGGTTGTATTGGAGTTGATGTCCTGTGCTGAACTGCGAGTTCCACCCCAATACTGGTCTAGTTACAAATGCTCTCCGTGGCACTGGGCAAGCGAATGTGCTGCGCCTCAGCCCTGGAAGGCCTTCGACACTCCATCCTGCCTTTCAGTCCTGCTACAGGGCTGACTAAAGGGGAGCTTTATCCTCGACACATTAACTCGAAATTAAGTCCTGTTGAATTGAATTCTAAGTAAGTGCACAAAGAACTGCAGCCTGAAATCTCCATGCAGCACTTTAAGTGAACGTTGTACATTTAAAATACACTATAGGAATTTTAAGCATTGTATTATACTCACTATTAATGATGTTATACTCATATGTGGTGCTGAAATGTGTGAACCACACCCACAGGTTAATTCCACAGTAACTATCCTTGAGTAGGCAGAACCAAGTTGTCTTTTTTATATTTCTTGTAAGGCCAGAAGCGACTAGGACACAAAAGTGGTCATGCCGGGACATGGCCTGAAAGGACAGTATCCCTGCTGAAACTAAGGAGTTTGGGGGTTTGGCCAATTCCTTTGTGTGAAACTACCTTGAAACATTACGCATGTTACCTTTCTGTGGAACTTACTGCCGAGGGGAAGACCAGCAGGTCAGAGCTGTCAGAGCGCATATCATTTTTCAAAAACCATTCTTTTCATCTATTATCATCACTATGTATACTATAAAACCGCCGAATCTGGTGTCTCAGCGTGGTTTCACTGAACCGTGGTCTGAAAGCAAGGCCGGACACACCAGAGTGCAGCGCATTTTGGGGAAGCTTGTCCTGCAGCGCATTTTGGGGAAGCTTGTCCTGCATCACCAACACAGCCAGTGTGCCTCTCCATGAGGCAGTGACCGGGAAGGGGAGCATTCCCTGCCTAGAGAGACACAGCGCTGCCCTCAAGCTCTCCATCTTCTTGCCTGGTCCCCCCATGCCCATCTGCAGGGCCGTAGGCTGCAAAACTCCAAAAAGATTCCATTTAATTATTGATGGCAAACTCGTGAATAATCACATCTGGGAAAGTTAAACCTGCAAAAGTTGAGATTTGACTGTTACATATTCTTTGCTATTATTCACAGTTTCAGGCATCTGCTGGGGGACTTGAAACAAATCCCCCAGGGATTCAGGGGTTTTACTGAATTATATAGAGACACCCCCCCTTTAATAACCAATAATTTCATTATTTAGAGCTGCATCTTATACTCAGGTGGTTATTTTTTGTAAACTACTCTTAGAATCACTGTATAAGCTGCTCCTAGCTTTTTTCAGTAATTGAATGTGATGAAAATATAATTCTGTGTAAAAATCAGTGAAGAACTAGCATTACTTCCCCAAGCAGAACATGCTCACTTCATCTGTAAGCATGCAATGAAAGGGCTCAAGAGTCTCTCTTCACCAATAGTGCCCTCCAGAGGTGTCGGACTACAACTCCAAGCATGCTGGCTGGGGGATGCTGAAAGCTGTAGTCCAGTGCATCTGCAGCGGATGAGGCTGGGGAAGGCTGGGCTAGGCAGCGCTAAAGAGGGGGTGCCACTGCTCCCTGAGGCACGAAGACATCGCAAAATGAGCTTCCCTCCCTAGGCAACAGCCTCTTCCCGCTGCTGCCTCCGACGAAGTGACTCATTTGCCGCTGCATCGGGCCGCCCACCCAGCTGCCGAGAGGCTCATTCCGAGGGGTGGGCAAGCAAGCGGCAGCTGCTCTCGGGGACCCTCTTGCCTCACGGGTCAGGCGGTGCCACCAGCGCCTGGCAGGCCTTTCTGTCCGAGAGAAGCAAGCAGCAGCGAGGACAGCAGCAGCGGGGGGGGGGGGGGCACCTTGCACACGCCTCGCCGCCCTCTCTGCACACACGCCCTCACGCCTGCCTTGCCCAGGCACCGGCCCCGCGTCTCCGCCGCCTTTTCTCCTGTGGCGGCAACTGGCAGCTGCCCGGCTTCCCCTCCGCCTGCGCCTCCGCTCCGTGCACCAGAGCCGCCAATCACCTGGGGCGTCCTTCTTCGCTTCCCTTGGATCCGCTCCCGGACTCGCGTCCTCCGCTGGATCCGCTCCGCGTTTCTTCTGATTCCGACGGCGGGAAGGGGAAGATCCAGGCCGGGTCTCGGCTGTCGCTCAGCCCCTGCCCACCCGCCTCTTCCCTGTCGCCCATCATCATCCTCGCCGTCTGCTTTGCTCGCCGCTGGCCGGGACCGGATTGCGCTGGGCAGGCTGCTTGCTCGGGACCCGGCCGGGAGGGCAGTGGCTCGCCCGCCCTTCGTCTTGGGGAGCGAGGGGAGGACGACCATGCACCGAGTCGTCTCCAACCAGCGCTCGGTCTCCTCCTCCTCGGGCTCCTTCCAGGCTCCTCCGCCGCCTCCCCCCGCCGCTGCCGCGGACCTGCAGCCCCTTTTCCTGGGCGGCGGCATCAGCACCAGCAGCAGCAGCAGCTCGAGCGGCGGCACCCGGAGGGGCAGGAGGGGCTCAGTATCCAGCTCGGCCTCCACCCGGACTCGGAGCAGCAGCAGCGGCGGCGGCGGCCGCAGCAGTGAAGAGGAGGAGGAAGAGGGCGAGGAGGAGGAGGAGGCCAAGCCGCTCGTGCCGGTCCAGGACCCCGCCTCGGCCGCCGCCGCCAGCGCCACCCCCGCCTCCGCCTCCGCCTCCCCGGGCTGCAGCAGCCCGTCCACCTCGGGCTGCAGCATGACCGCGGGGGAGCTGTACGGCGCCCCCCTCGCCGGGCCGGGGCCCGCAGCGGGGCCCGCGGCGGGGCTGCTGTGGGCGGGGGGCGCGGGCGGCGGCGGGTCGCGCTGGGGCTACAAGGCGCTGTCCCTGGTGCTGCTGCTGGGGCAAGGCGCGCTGCTGGACCTCTACCTGATCGCCGTCACGGACCTGTACTGGTGCAGCTGGATCGCGACGGACTTGGTGCTGGCCGCCGGCTGGGGCATCTTCTTCTGCCGCAACAGCCGCGCTCGGCGCCGGGAGCGCCCGCCCGCCTCGGCCGGGGGAGGGCACCCGCCGCCGCCCTTGCACCCGCTGCTCGGCCACCCGCCGCACGGCGGGAGAGGCGGCGGCGCGGCCGCGGGCGGCAAGGCGGGGGGCGCGCCCCGGGGCGGGGACTTCGCCTACGCCCACCTGGCCTGGCTGATTTACGCCATCGCCTTCACGCCCAAGGCGGCGCTCATCCTGGGCACGTCCATCCTGGAGCTGGTCGAGCTGCGCCTGCCGCTGGGCGCCACCGGCTTCCGCATCACGCTGGCGCTTTCGGCCCCGCTGCTCTACTGCCTCCTGCGGGCCATCGGCGCGGAGGGCGGCGGCTCCGGCTCCGGCTCCGGCTCCGGCCAGCTGCTCCTGCCGCCCCACCCGCCGCCGCAGCACCGCGCCGCCGCCGCCTTCCTGGCCACCTGCTTGGACCTGCTGGACAGCTTCACCCTCCTGGAGCTGCTGCTGCTGCAGCCCGGCCGGCCGGCCTTGCCTCTGCCGCCGCCCCTCCGCTACGTGCTGATCGCCGTGTATTTCCTGTGCCTGGCGTCGCCCGTGCTCTGGCTGTACGAGCTGAGCGCCCCGCGGGCCCCCGGCGCCGGCCGCCTGGCCCTGCACTGGCTGCTCCCCGCCGGCCTGCTGGACGCGCCCCTCCTGGCCCTCCGCTGCCTGCTGCTCGTGCGCTACCAGCAGCCGCTCTCCATCTTCATGCTCAAGAACCTCTTCTTCCTGGCGTGCCGGGGGCTGGAGGCCATGGAGACCTGCTGCCTGCTCCACTCGGCGGGCGGGCACGGGGGCCACGCCAAGAACGTGGCCACCCCTTCTGCAGGCGTCGTGGGGGGCCAGCTCAGCCACTGCATCTCGGAGAACGACATGGGGCCCCACGGCTACGTCAACACACTGGCCGTCACAGCGCAGAGCTGAGGAGGAAAGGGAGTGGGGCCAAACCCATGCCAGCAGCACTGTCCCCGTGGCTTGCCCTTCCATTTAGCCTGGTCCCCTCTAGATGTGCTGGACTACAACTCCCACAGTTCCTGGCCAGCATGACCAGACTGTCTGGGGACTGTGAGAGTTGCCCAGTCCATCTGGGAGACACCGGGTCGGGAAGGCAGAGTTTTCCCAATGGTTGAGTGCCCACCTTTACCTTACAACTGTATTCCCTACCAGTCTAATTTAGGTACCCAACTTGCTGTGCATATTTTCCATTTATAACTCTCCAATTTTCAGGATGACCCAGCTATCCATACCCAGGTCTATTAATAGACAGTAATTGTACACTTGGCCTGGCTCCCACCACACCTCCCATTACATCATTGATCAGTTCCAGTGTGTCATACTTAGCTATTTGCCAGTACTGCCTTTGCCCTGGAAACTCCATCCAAGGAGGCCAGCTGTATCTATTTTGCAGTATCCCTGTCCTCCTTTCAATGCCAGTCAATGTCATTTTTGGCCACTGATAAGAGCTCTCCTAAATTGCTCCCACTGTTCACAGTTCTGCTAATCTCAGTCATACTGAGACCCAGTTCACATTAAGCCAGGTGATTAGCTCCAATACACTGAAGCAATGCATGCTGCCTTAAGTAGATTCTGTCCATGAAAAACATTTCCCTGGCATAATTGGAAGTGTCCCCTCAAGCACTGAAGTGGTTTTTGCCACTGCAGAAAGGTGCTCATGAGATTTAGATTCCTTGGTAGCACTAAAACCTCTTGAATAACATCAAGTGCTTAGTTTTTAATTGTAAGTTTTCCCCTGATACATTCCCTGTGCTATTGCCTTAAAATCTCTACCTTGTCTACAGACCCATTTTTCGTAAGAATGGCAGCTGAAAAAAAATAAATCTTAAAATTTAGTTTTGCAGAGGGACTCCCAGTGATGTGGCTGAGTATTCACGAATACTGCAAGCATCAGGCATTCCCAAACCATCCACTGACCCCTAATGATGGCAGAAAAAATATTTTTTTAAAAAAAAATCTCATCCCAAATCCTTGATCCTTAGTCCCATACACTATTTCTAATCCCTTGCTTCTACACCACGTCCCATAACGTCCCACACTATCGTCCTATGTATTCTGCAGATTCTCTCTCAATGGGCATTTGCCATACTGTGGCTACAGATACCCTACTGTCTAGCTGCCCCTCCTTGTGTTTTTCCCCATCATTTTCATGAGCTGGTCTTATTAACAACAGGGAGGAAAAAAGGTCACCAATTTCTCTCCCATTTCTTAGCCTTGGCCAGGCTCCTCACTCTGGCCTGTCCTTACTGAGGTGCCTCTTATCACCACTGCCTATCTGGGAAGAAGGGACAGCCACTACCTGAATTGCTGGGAGAATCCCACTGGACTTGCCTGCTCTCTAATTGTAAACTGTTCAGGTCTTCATATCTACCTAAGGCTGCTGCACATGTAAGCAAAGGGTAGCCCAGCCATAATGCCAACATGGAACAAAGAAAGGAATGTTATCGCTGGTGCTAAATTAAGCCTAGTTCCATTAGTAAATCTGTGAGTGGGCTATGGCACTCACAGTGCAGGTAAGGGCTTGCACAGTTAGATGCTCTGCTGTACAAAAAGGCCCTCCACAAAAAGGGCAAGGGTTTGAGTGTACCTTCCTGATGTGCCAACTTCCCGTATGAAGGATTTTTAGGGGCACAGGTATAAGGGAACATTCAGTAATGTAAATTCCCACCTGTAGACTAAAGTGGTACAGTCTAGACACAGCTGTACCACCTCAGCAAAAATTAAGCCTTTGCCAATCAAAAATTGTGCCTCTCCTTAGCACTTGCTCAGGGTGCTGTAGCTGTTCCAGGGCAGGTCAAGGGCACCATTGTTCTTAACAGTCATTTCCTTTTTTAGGTTCCTTCTGCTAACTGTTCAGAGGAAAATTCCAACACAAAAGATCAAAAATATCTATAAGGACAGATCAGCAAGAATCCCCTTTCTTAGGAAAGGTCACCTTTTTCCACTGTAGGTTCTTTTTTAAATTTACAGTGTCTCAAGATTCGGTTTATTTCCCTTATGAGCACTTACGTGCTCCACAACCACCACAAGAGTTTTTATTTGTATGATTGATGGTTTCCAGTTGATGATTTAGGAAGAAACTGTGCTGGACATGGCTTCAGTATGTTAGGCCTTGGAATATGTGACTCACTTGCCAAAAGCAGTCATTTTTAACCTTCTGTACTTTGTAAAAAACAACTCATGAAAGCCTCTGTCCGTCGATCTCTGAGATAAAGTAATTCCCTCATGGGAAACATTTCTGGGATTAGGATGGTACCTGCAATCTTTTAAGAAAGGAAGTATCTTTTTCCTTGTTGAACATTTCTACCTCTGTGCTTCAACCTCATTGCATCATGCGTTGACTTTGTGCATTGGAACAGTTACATCTGATTTTAACCAAAGGAGGGCTTCAACACCCTCCTTGGCTAAGACATTTATCTAACCGGTGATAACAGGGTCTATCAGTGATCTCTACTTGCAGGGGCTCTCATTATTCTTGGGGACAGACTTGCATGATTTTAAGGAATTGGTGCTGTTTTGAGGACAGCTTTCCCTCGCTTATACAGAGTCAACAGTGGTTGGTATACAAGCAAACAGAACATCCAGTAGAGCAAATATGATAAAAGGAACACTGGAACCAACCCTTTTCCTTGTTTTTAAGTATTTATTGGTGCTGCCTGCTATGTGCTGTGTGTTTAAATCCAATTTGACATGGAACAAGAGAAACCACATTACCAAAGGTCACAGGCAGCAGCTTGAGTATGTTGGCCAGATCCTCAATGCTTTCCCCGTACGGCCATGTTTCTTGGTTTGCATGTAGCTCCAACATTGCTTGTGAGAGAGGGAAGCCTGTTTTGGTTGACTCAAGCTACCTTGAGTTTTAAAATTCCCTAAGCATATGTTAACCTGATAATGGCCATGCAGCTATATAATAGACAGGTGGCACTGACCAAGTAAGGATATCTTGAATCAACTTCTATTAAAAAAATACCCAGCATTTAGATAATTTTAAAAATACAAACTTGAATTTTTAGAGGTTCCTGTTACTGGGCATGGTACTAAACAATGCCAAGTGCCCCCCCCCCCCCCACAACCTACCTCAATACTTCACCAACCACTATCCAAAAACCTGTGGTGAGATAGGATGTTATTCCCTACTTGGTCAATCCACTTTTTGCACTTAAATTACTGCAGTATGAAGGAATGATACAAATGCCGTAGTAGGTGTTAAAGAATCTGGTTCTTAAGCATTGCTATTATATTGTGTTTGAACTCTTTGTACTCAGAGAATAGTAAATTTTGTCGGGTGCTTCACTCTTTATAGTAAATCTGAGATAGCTGCTGAGTGATCTCAGACCAGTCTATTGCTATCACCAGAGTAAGCATGAGGGCTTCACTTTCTCACCAGAGCTTTATTCTGGTGCGGAAGCAGAGCTTTTGAAATAATTGTATGAAATTCTGGTCAGAGGCCTTCCCTCCAGTAATTCTTTTCTGTTTGTCTGGACAATCTTGGTGCTGTGACTGTGATTGTAAAATTTAAGTACTTTGGACTTTCCCCCTGAGCTCTGAGATACTTCTAGAGGTGATGCTAATTTCCAAGTAGTGAAAAGAGGTGTATATTATCCTTCATGTCCTTCTGAAGAGAAAAAAATCTGCTATGAAGCAATCCATTGTGTAGTAATCAAACAATACAAAAAGTTTATAGCAGATATTTGCATTTCAACAGGCACTCCTATTACAAGTTAAATTGAACATTTAAGTACATTGTGGAATATATGCCAGTCACAACACTACCATGGGTGGACTGATGCTGGCTAACAGAGAGAGATTAAATTAACAAATCTGATTGAGTGAAGTATCTTATGCCATGCAATTGAAATCAATTCAAGTGGGATTGTGACATATTTACTTTGTATGGGTCCCAGCCCAAATGTAATCCTTTCACCACAGTCTAAACAGGGGCCATAAATGTGTGGAGACAGGCTTCTTGGGATGAAGAACCAAGGACAGGAGTGAGTGGTGTGGGTGGAGTTCCTCTTCCTGACCCAGGTCCCAATGCTATACACACAGAGCTGCCTTAGAGAAGCAGTAATCACATCTATTAGTTATGGCAGGCATGGGGGGCCTCAGCACTGTGGTCTGCCTCCATGGCCATGACTCCTCCCTTGGCTCCACCTTCATTCCCCAACCAGAAATAATTTGGTGTGAGGGGGTTGGCTTTCTGCAGTTCTGCTCTCCCATTCTAAAATTATGAAATGCCTAAGGCAGAGTTACTGCCAGTAAAAGCTTTAACCTACAACATTCTGTATATTTTGGCTCCATTCACCATTGGCATAAAGTCCCCAGTAGGGTCTCCAAAATGGAATTTGAAAGAAGTTCCCCACCTGAGTTATAGCATGAGGAAACACTCCTCCCGCAACTTTCAAATACCAGATTGATGCAATAACTGCTTTTTCTAAGAGGGCATAGTGTAAGCAGGGTGTATTTTTCTTTTGAGAGAGTTGGGTTTATTAACAGTGTTCTAACATTTCACTAATGCTAACTTGTTTAGCATTGGAAATGAGTATTAACAATTGTGGCATAAAGTACATTTTGAAGTTATAATGCACTGCCTTTACTGTTGAAAGTACTGGCAGTTGCAGTTAGGATAATATATCTTGGCTTTATGAACAGCTGTTTGCATCATCTTTGCTATCCAGTGGCAAGTGTGAGAGGATGTACATTGTGTTTGCTGTTGCCAGATTTTTGGAATAACCAAGGCTCCCATAAAGGGTTTCTGTTAAGTGTTTCTAGCATTTCTTTGTTATGCAATTGTATTAGCCAAATTCAGCGCGACTGGAATGGTTACTGTCCACACTGGAACTGCCTGAGCATTATGCTACGGAAGGAAACTCGGAACTTTCCTTTTCAGGACAAGCTACAACTATAGAGACAGCAACTATAAAAGCAACTGTTTTTGCATAAGAGTAGAGTCAAGCAAAAAGGACAAGGAAACTTAGCATCTTCACAAGTTTTACACAGCTTTTTAAAAAACCAGATTTTGTTCTTAAAATAAACAAAAGCAACTGAATTTTCTTGAGGTCTGATTACTAACTCTGATGAGTGGTAGTTTCTGAATCCAACATTTTAAAAGCAGGAAAGCTCAAATGAAAGAGACAAACTTTGTAGAGTACAGCAAAATGAGAACTACTAAGCTGGTACAATCAGTACTTCCACTTCAGACAGTAGGTAATCACATTTTTGTGAGCTACCAAAATAATTTTTATTAGCAAATGGCTAGAAGTAAAGATTTAAGTCTTGCTGCACTTAAAACATTTTTTTGGTGGAGCTTCAATGCTACATTCTCCCACCTGTTGTTGAAAGTGGCGTGTCCAGTTTACCAGCTCAGTGTTCTGCCAGCTCTTTTATTCTTTGGACATACACCAAAGCATACACAAATTGGCTCAGGGGAAGTGTCACCCCACCCCAAATTGCTTCTAGGAGTTAAATGCCATCAATGGCTTCCTAGTAGTGATATTCTATTATATTGTTCCTGGAATCTCAGCAGATAGCTTACTACCAGCAGCCACACCACAAAGGATGACCAAGGATGCAAGCTACTCAAGTCAATGGAATTGATCTTGTCAGAGAAGTAAATATATGTTCTTTCTCACTGAAAATGCAGAGTCACTGCCTGGGTTTGAAGACCATCAGAATAAATGTGTAAAAAATGATATTCTCTAGCCAAATTTTCAGGGAATAGGAGAGGGAAAACGCAGTGTCCAAAAGTCCAGAAGGCAGACTATCCTAACAATGGAGAAGGAAGAAAAAAAAAGTGCATTCATCTTCCATGGCAGTGACCACTGAAGCCTTAGATCTGGGCTCTGCTTGTACAAGAAATGTAAATGAAATATGTAAGTAAAAGCATAAGTAAATGCTAAGATTTTTGAGATGATAAATTCTGTGTCTGTTATAGGAAGGTATACTTTCGTATCAAAGTTTTTAAAAACCTGGTAAAGCTGAATAGTAACTAGTGGTCATAAAGCTTCTGGTGGTATGGCAGTGGTGGTCTTAGAACATTTTTTATAGCTTCTTCCTTCCACTTCCCAAATAATGCGGGGATGTTGCAGGACTACTGTACAATTTTCTGAGAAAATGTATATAAAATGAGTTCTTACAGAGGAAATGTTCAATATTATGTAGCATGAAGAACATTCTGTTTACACAAAATATTTGTGCAGTACAAAATAGACTTAAATCATCCAGCTAATCATTTCCATTTTATGTAGACTGACATTTAAGTACAACAGTAGACACATCAGAAGTTCGGTTTCAACTGAATGTAGCATATCTTAGCTTGATTTGCTCTCAACTGATTCCTGTGCATAAAGATTTTGGGTAGATATCTTTATTCCCAATTGACAATAGATTTGGCACTTATTTAACTGCCTGTAGATTCTAGAGTACTTCTCTGGAAGAAAATATTTTATTTGCAAATGCAAAACATAAAAAGAGCTAAATCAGTTCACATAAAATATGGTTTCCTTTTATTCAGGGTGGCCCATCAAATGTTTTGACTTACCATTCTCACCTTCCCTTCCTACTAGCTATGCTGGCTAGAGTTGACTGGACTTGTAAACATTTCGATGGCCACAGGTTACCCATCCTGTCTTTAATTACTTAGTTATGGTCTGCAAATGAAATAACAAAACTGAGAAAGTAGAATCAGCAATAATACTTCAGTCTGCAGGTGAGTGATCAAGTTTTTGCATGTTTCTACCTTCTGAAGTGGGTTCTTTAAATGGTAAGAAACACCCAGCAAAATTCTTGTAAAATGTACATCATCATTATGAAAAAAGGCAGACAAAAACCCAGCTATGACACATCTATTGAAGGATACTGCTGAGTTGCTTCTAAAATGGGGCACAAAGTAATTCAACGGAATAGGTAGCAGCTCTTCTTTTGTTTATCTGCAATGATGCAAACAAGACAGCAGGAACTGTAATAGAATTATGGTACTTGGGAAAGAGCCTTGTTGCATCACAGGAGTTTTTGTGTACTTCTCTTTGGGCTGATTTAGTTAACAAAGTACATGGATATTTTGTTTTTCCATTTCTTAATAGAAGAGCTTAGCTATAATAATCCTATCATACAGGATATTTCAAGAGTATTTCACTTTGAAGCATCCATTTTCATTGTAAGTGTTAGTATACTATGCCAACATATGACCTTCGCCAGAGAAGCGAAGCTAGTTGTGTTCTTCGTTCTTTTGCTCATTCACTGAATCTTGGTGACTTCTGGTATGTAACTCATTCTTACGGCCATATTTGCTAGCTTTAATCCCTTCCCTACATTATGGCAAAACTTGTATACATTAAAGACACACAAAACCTTTCTTCAGATGCCAGATATGGCTAATATTTAAATAGAGCCATATTTTGAATTGAGCAGCTGCTGAAAGAGCAACATTGGCTCAGTCCACTGAACAGTTACTGGACCAGCCAAGATATAGGCAGAAAGGTCTCTGCCTCTTTTCTCCCAAGCAAGCACTTTACATTTATATCCTGTAGCTACTTGCTTCCATTTGACTCTCCTGGAAGTCAGCAGCTGTGGTACAAAATAGGAAGGAAGTAAAGAGCATTTGGGAAAGATACATCCTAAAGAATGTCTGTGTTTCTGACACAGTGCACCTACTTGTGCCATAGAGATGTTGTTGCATCTTTGCAGAAAATTCAAAGGCATAAAATGGATGAAATCAGAAACCAAGAAATTAGTGCATGGCTGCAATTTCCTATGTCTCAATTCAATTACATATCCCTTCTCTGCTTCAGTGCCTTCTAAGTTAGATTTTCTGAGAAACTTTTCCTGGCATTATAAGATAAAGGAAAAACATCTCCATTATCAAACTAATTGCATTATACAATAATTTTAACAATATTGTTTATCCATTCATAACTTGAGTATCGAAGCTGCAAACATTTGCAATTTGCTTGAAAACCCCTGAACCCAGATATCCCTGCTGGTACTATTTGTGGTATAAGAGCAAATTGATCACTGTAACATTTAAATTAGGCAGAGTGATTACTTAATACAGACTTCAGATAAATACAAGAGCATTTCATCTTATTGACCTTAAGTCTGAATAGCTTAGAGTACAATGTTTGCTGAGGAAGATGCTGAGGATGTTCTTCTGTGGATCATTCATTTTAGTCATTTGTAAGTTATCTCAAGTTCATTAAAGATCTGTAATTGAAGAACAGCTGCAAGCCATCTTAAGCTATCTATACTCTCTGGGTTCAGAGGCAACATACTACTGCCTGAACTTTCTAGGATAACAGCAGGGGAGGTCTTTTGCTGGTGGACTTCCCAGAAGTATTTACTTGCTACAGGATGTGACAGGATGTTGGACAATTTTTTTTCTGATCCAGCAGGGTTTTCTTATGCTTCCACTTTAATGAATTTACATCTAATTTGCCACATCTGTTATGAAAAATGGGTTGTGACCATAATACATAGCTTCCATGTAGCCTGAAGGGCCTGATCATGCCTCATCTTGGAAGCTAAGCAGGGTCAGGCCTGGTTGGAATCTGGATGGGGGACTTCAATGTTGTGAACCACCCAGAGAGCTTTGGCTATGGGTGGTATAGAAATATAATTAATAATAATAATAATTGCCCTGGTTCTTCCACTCTTAACTCTCCTGTGTTGCCCACCATTACTGGAATACCCTACTGAGATATCTGATCATCTGGTAACATTCTTACAGCGGTTTATAGCATTAATCTGCAAGATGTAATGTTTATTGTTCTGACATCACACAGTAATGCTTCAGTGGATACTATAAGCAGACTGGATAGATAGCTTAGAAATTTAGCCCTGTAGCCAAATGGATGTTCTCAGTCAGCTCTCCTCTCTGTTAGACTTCATAAAAATATAGGACGGTTGTTTGAGAGAAGACATCTCAAATGTATGCATTCTATCCAATATACCCTTCCTTTTTGGTGAACACAGGACAGGTTCTGTGTGGAGAGCCAGACCAACTTCATCCTCTCTCCCATGGGGCCCTAGCTGAAGTTCTGCTGAATATCCTGGAAAAGCAGCTCCTGCTGCAGATGTTTTAGACTGTCCAAGATGTCTGCGGAGAGGTACCCAGCAGACCCATGTCCTTCCTGTTCTTGGACTTCCTCCTTCTCCATAGGTCCATCAGAAAGCAAAGGGGAACATCTGGAGATGTATCCCTGGTCTGATTGCACTGACTGTCGTTGATCTTTGCAAGAATTATCAAAATCTAGCTGCTGCTGCTGCTGAGCATTAACACTTTCTTGGCAGACAGAGAGTTCAGAGGGGGTGATGCTTTGTTGATAGACAGAGTACATCAATCCCTCCAGCTGCTGCCTCACATCAACTGGCAGGGGCTGGGGATCTGAAGATACGTCATCTTGAATAATGACTTTGTTTCTTCTTGGGATGCTAGTTTCTAATAGGGGTGCTCTTTCCAGCCACTCTTCATTGGGCAACAGTTGATTGCTGAATATGCTTCTCTTTTCCACAGGCACAATTGGCATTACCATCTGAACCTGAGAAGTCTCATCAGCAGGAACAACCAGGGTTTGAAATGTTGGATCTTCTTCTGGTAGAGGTTGGGGTAACAGCCTACAGACTCCCAAGTCATCCTCACTGACCAGGAGGTTGACCAAGCAACAGCTACTGGGGTCAGGCTCACGCAGAAGTAGTTGTTGTCTCAGAATTCTTCCCTTAGCTGATACTAATTCCTCAGAGAGTTCCCCATTCAGGGACTGTAGGTCATCATGATCCTCAGAGCAAGCATTCTGCCTTTTAAACCAGTTAGGGTCCTCGGTCTGCAATTTCTGGAACTTCTGAATTGCCTCCTTCAGTTGTCTGCCACTGGGGCTTTCCATATACTTTTCACGTGAAATCTCTGGAATCTGATGGATTCGTCCTGGCTCAAACTTTTCCATATCCTGAATCAGGAAATAAATTTCCTCAAACTTGTCCATCAGTTGGTACTTGGAGGTGACATTAAAAGGTTCTGGAATATCTCTCTCACTGCTTATGCCCTCAAAATAGCAGACTAAGTACATGCCAAAGCAAGCTGGCTGCTTAAAGTCTGGCAAGATCAGATTCAGTGCTGGAGTGAACATGTCCCCTATCGGCTTATGGTTATCTTGTTTGAGACAAACACCTCTCTCTCCACGGCCCAGCATGGCCTGCCACTTAGCTCGAGTGCCTTGGGAACACAATATAATGATCTTTGAAGAGAGTTCTTCCATTTCCTGTTTTTGTCGAGTAAGCCAGCGTATGGGCCCCATCTCAGATATCTGGCGCTCATCCAGCCGATCTAGTACTACCTCAGTACCACAGACAGTCATCAAGAATTCAGCAAACCTCATCACAACATCTACATAGAGCTTGTGGTCAGCAGAATACACAATCCAAATCTTACAAGCCTTTAGGGGTTGAAGAGGCTGTGACCCAAGCGTGTCATCTAGAAAATTGAGATAATATATTAAAAAAAACCCACTCTGTTATAGTCACTGCATTTCAAACATGAACAACAAGTACTGTACAGAATCCAGGAGCAAATATTCAAGATAATTTAGTACAGGTTAGCATACCTTAAATGCAATTGAATCACAAACACACAATCATGATAATTTAAAGAAGGTCTTAAAAATGACTGTCCATAGCATCTCTATGGATTCAAGAGGTTAACTGAATTCTGCAATGCTTAATGTTATCACAGAAACAGGAATAGTAGTTGTACTATGATAGTCTTTTTTAAAAGTCTTTTTGTTTTCAGGAAATACAATGGAAGGAAGAAAGGCGTATATAAGAAGAAAAAGGAAAAAGAGGGGGAGCCAAGGTTCATTCTAGGGATTTAACAAGTAACTCCTCAGTTAGGCACATTAAATGAGGAGGTCTCTCACCATTAAACTAAGGTCTCTATCAACCACTCTTTTGTCCCAAGTTTTTCCTTGATAGTCTTAAGAAACTGCTGGATCTCAGGAACGCACCCTTTAGAAGATGAACGAGCACTGTTTAGATTCTAAGCTTATTGTACAGTGTAGAAATGCCTCATTAGATGACAGGTGCCAAAAGGATGGGAAGTGAGAGTATGTAGGAATCATCAAGTATGAAAGATTTCAGCACCCACCATTCCTTCATCTCTCATACTCTCTCTTTGATCTCCAATAATGGTTCTTTTTTTCAAGTTCAACCCCACAGCTAAGAACATTTCAAATACTTCAGATCTACAAATGTGCTACATAAAGTACTGTTTCTGAAAGAGACAGCTCTTGATGCTAAAATAAAGATTTACAGGTTGGGATTTCTCAGCCAAAGTAACTTGTGATCCATAAAATGCAATAGCAGTAACTCTCCATGGAAGTGGATGTCCACATGTGTTTCCCATGCATTTTAGGAAAGTAAAAAAACTAGCACTGTTCCTCTCATGCCTCAGCCCAATACATGTTCTCAGATTGCAAGACAGCACTGAGTAATTAGAAATAAAGAATTGCTTACCATTACCTGTATTATCACTGGTGCCTGTTCCTGCATTTGCTGCTTAGAGGGAAAGAAGAACAAAGTGCACACATTAGACATTGTTACGGTAGACCTTTGATGAGACAGCAGCTCCTGTACTCAGACGCTAGCCACCTTCACTCTGAGGGTTTGGTGCATGCAGGCATTTTCTTCCTCCTCCTCTTCCTCCTCCTCTTCTTCTTTCCTAAGACTTAGCACCTTCATTCTTTTAAAACCTCCTGAATTTCAGAACATGCACAGGACTCTTGTATATACTCTATGGAGCTGGCAAGAGAATTTTCTATATCCCATTTAAACTCTGGTTATCAGAAGTCACTTGAAATTTAAATACAGGGGAAGTGATACATCAGACAACTTCAACTATTAAAAAATGACAGACAAAATTTGTTTAATATAGGGCATAATAGTAAGTACTGTGAAGAACTCATGAAATCCCTGGTTCAAAGTTTACTCCTAGCTTGATTTTGTGAGGTGGCCTTAGGCCACTCTCAATCCCTGTTTGCATTGCAGGGATAATAAAATTGACCTACTTTACAGGACTACTGATAAATTTAATTGGCAAAACCTTCTCACCCCATTTGTGACATACCTTTTGGCCTCCGAACAAGGCAAACTGCTACAGCAACAGCTGATACAACTAGTAAAATGCAGACGAGGGTGAGGCCCCAGGGCAGTGCCACCGAAAGATAACCTGAAATGTAATAAGAAAATACCATAAGGCACATTTCTACTGCTGCTGTCACTAAACAATAAAATACTGTACTGAACTGAACTGATTAGTGGACAGGAAAAACTCTGTTCTTAGATGCAATGGGCCAAGAAGAAGTAGAAGAATATTGTTCTGGCTCAGATATAATAAATACTGACTTCTTCCCTTCCATTTCTAATCCTGCTTCTTTTCCAAAGCAGCTCAATAGAACTGATAATTCACAGGCCAAGTAGGCATGGACATGCATTGTGTTATCCGTTTCTGCATCCACAAGCATTTTAATAGAAAGACTACTGGCCCTCAAGCGCAATCATCCTCCCACCCCAGGAGGCCCGAATAGGGCCTGGCTCCTCCATCATCTTCGCTTGTACGGTGCTCCCTTAGTACTGAAGAAATCCCTTTGCCCTTAGTTTATATGTTCATGGTAAAGTGCAATAGCAATGCCACATCTACTACCCTTTGGAGAATAGGCAATTTCTGCCTCAATTTGATTGTTACACACCGAAGTTACTGCCCACATTTTTCATACACTAAGGCATTAAGTGGGGAATCTCTGCCCTGCAAAAGGTTCCCCATCTGTCCTGCAGAGGCCCCCTGTCTGACCTGCCCCCTCCTCTTCCAAGCTCCATGTCTGGACATTGTTGCTACCAGGGATATGGGGAAGCGGTAAGGAGAGAAATTCTTCAGTTGTCTGGTCACAGACCACAGGTAACAAAGGGATTTGCCTTACTCAGAAGGCAAATTGGGACTTGAAGATGCTTGTCTGATCCATGTCAACCCCAATGAGGGAAGGTGCAAGGTGGGCAGAACCAGCATTGCACTCCGCTAGCATTTTCACAAGTTCCTTGAAATACTGGCCAAGTGTCCCTGTATGGGGAAAACAAAGGACAAAAAACCCCAGCACTGTGGCTCAAGCACAGTTTCAGTTGGGGACCTGATGACCTCAGGGGACTAGGACTGCCCCCTGGCATCATATGGCCCAGAATAAGACTGGGGGGCAATCTGGTTCCCTATACATTTAGAAGAAGGGACCCACTGCCAGTCCTCCAGGTATCACGTTTCCTTTGTGCTTATGAACATAAATGTACGCAAAATAGTGGAGAGTCTCCTGTCCCAACATTCTGCCAAGTTGTTACTGTTACTCCCCTCCACTCCCCTGTTATTTAGCTTAAAAAGTTAAAATTGAGACTATACCATCTCCTTTCATTTTCTCATCAGTGAAACTCAGCACAGTAGGCAGGGGGCATGGGATGAAAACTGAATGCCTCATACAATCTGAGGCACAAACTGCAAAGAATGGCTGGATCTGGAGGGAAAAGAAACTAGAGTCACTTTGGCAGCAAATTTATGGCTCCATTCCTCAACACTTCCTATTTCAAGCACAAAAACCAAATTAGGTGCGATTGCTGTTTTTTCATCTCAGATACTTCACCTTTTACTAGGGTGTTCATGTCAAAAGCACTGTTTTCTTACAGCACCTTGATCTGTAAGTCATCTGTTCTGTTTTGCCTGCTCTAGAATGCCATTTCACCTGGAGGAATGTTGTCCATGGGGATGCAGAGAGTCAGGCGTGACTTTGCAACTGAACAACAACAGAATGCCATTCCAAACAGTGCCTGAAACTAAAACCGCACAGGGGCACCATTTTGGGCATAAGGAGAAGATAAGAACAGAGCTGGTTCACAGTAAGATTTTTACTTATACTCAATATGAAATTCCAAGATATCAGCACGTTAAAAGAATTGGTTATGTTTATATCTTATACCTTACAGCGACCGAAGTTAAAATAACACGGCCTGAAGTAGAGGGTGATGGGGACATACCCTGACTTTTCTAAATGGTGCCCCTGAAATTAAATATACCTTTTCCTTTTCACATGATATTTAAGTTTTTGATCTGCTAAAAGACTGCAGGTGACTAAAGAGTAGGGAAGGAGGACAGATTCATAACTGGACTACCACACTTAGCTTTGTCATAGCCTGTCATATATCCCAACACATGATCATGTGAGCTAAAGGTAGTGGGGGGGGGGACTCCTACATATCTTAAAATTCAGTCATATGATAAAAGCAAGAAACAAAATAACATTTGGATGGTCCTGAAGCCAGATTCACAGAGATTCATTGGTGAGATCCTGACACAAAAAGCTCAAAGCAAAAACATCAAAGCAAAAACTCAAGGATTCTTGGAACAATTATCTTTACAAGCTAGGGCATTCAGCCACATTACTCAAACACAATAAGGTGTAGGGACCATGTTATCACCCTTGCTTAATATCCAGAACAACGAACATTCCACAAAAATGCTTAGAATCAGCAGGCTATATAAAACAACTTAGGAAAACTACTTTCTAGTCAACTTGGTTGTTCCAGAAGTAAACTCTACTTCCAGGATGAGGGCAAGACATCGCCTGCTAATGGCATTTCACAATATAATGACGGTGCATTTATACCTCCCCCGCTTTTAATTCTTGTGAGGAACCCTAGGCAGCATACATAGCTCCATTTTATCCTCACAGCAACAACCTTGAGAGGTAGGTTGGGTTGAGAGTGACTCACCAGCCCGAAGTTACCCAATGAGCTTCATGGCTGAGTGGGGCTAGAATCCAGATCTCTTTGATGAGTCCTGGTAAGTTCAACACTCATACCACATTGGCTCTCTAATTAAGCTCTAACTAATGGCTTTTTATGCTGCTATTTTGTATACCTTAAACTATTACATATATGTTGTAAAATGTTGTATTACATATTGATAAAGCATATGTTGGATCTTTTCCAAGCAAAGAATAGTCAATGATAACCTGAGCCTCTTTTAACTTACTTTGTACTGAGTATCCTACAACTATTCGCCTGGTGAAACGTCACCATATCCACATAGCTAAAGATGAAAAAAGGTGGCTGAGTTCCTAGTACAGTCAATGGAAAGAAGAAAATACCAGGACTACCACAATGCTGTCTCCAGCCTTGAGACAGACTTTTTTTGATTCACTGAAGGTGGTCTTCTGTGCAGGAATAAATGCAATATGACAATTGCCGAAGAATATAGGAGCACTTTCCTCTTATTTGAGCATAAAAAATGTAGCCTGCACTCTACCTGAACTCTGTACTCGCAACAACTCTTCACCATTCTCTCCAGCTTGACTGTGACATTTTGTCGCTGCGGCAACACCTCCTGCAGAAACCAAGATACAAGATGGAAGCACTATGGTGATATCACACAGAGCATACAAGAAACTATTAGAAGCAACAACAAGAAGTACGAGCTGAATCTGTGACCAAATACATTGTGCTTTTGAAAGCATAAAGGTGGGCTCAGGGAAATAAATTAGAGGGCAGGTACATTTTATCACAAAATGATGAGATGAACATCTGGATATTAAGCCTGGTTTGCATTCTTAGCATCAAAATTAAGACCAAAAATATGTTTCAGTCAGAAGTAAACATGGCTGGCTCCAGGTTATAAAGAATATGCCCTATAATGATAGAATCTGGTAGCTTAAGCACAATCTTAGTTATGGGAAAAGCTCACAAACACCATGGCCTGGTCTGAACATTCAAATGGGTGTGAGCTCTGTTCATATGCATGCAGTACCTTTGCACCTCCCGTCACATGACTGAGAGAAGGAACTAGGAAGCTGCATGGGTTCCTGTTATGTGCAAACTTCTGAACAAACCAGATTCAGAAGTCAATTTTAAACTATGGTTGCTTTTTGCTTTTGGGTATTATATTTCTGGCTTTTAAGTCTATTCCTGCACTTTAACACAAATTCCACATTCTGAAACCATTTTAGGGTTTGGTTCTGTTTTTAAAGGTGAGAATTCTAGGCAACCTATTCATAATTTAGGAGAAACTGGGTTATTGCAGAACAGATGGGGAGACATTCTAAAGACAGCGCTGATGAATTAATCGGAATTGAGGGACAGCTACAACTGGCATTAATAATTAGGAACTGAATATTGCTGAAGCGGAATTTAAGCTTTCCAGATGTGAGTCTGTTTTCTGAAGTAAATATTTCAAGAAGAGTGGGAGAGAAACTAATTACCTCAGATATTTTATGTATGGTCTTCTCACATTCTTTTCCCCCTTCTTGATAACTGGTCACGTGGATGATATAACTGGCTGATTCCAGTGCTGGGTTAAAGCTCACTAACAAAGATCCGTCATCAAGGCGTTTGCCTTCAATTCTGGGCTCCCACAGACTGCCTGCACACAGAAAGGTCATCAAAAACTTCAAAATGCATGTCCCACCATTCTTCCCAATGAACAAATATTACCTATTTGCAGGCACGGTGTTGTTGATTTCATGATAGGATCTGTGCAGTCTGCAACAAAAACAGAAAAGATGCATTATGTTCAGAAAGATTCCATGGGGTACAACCAGTAGTACCTGGCAAAGATTGTTAGCCAAGCATTGTCAGTGAACACACAGGATGATTTCACATAAACAGCCACACAGCCTGTAAATAAGCTGCACAGCACGAGCTATTCACAGAAAGATGGTTGGACTTGCTGCATGTTATCCCCACACAGCTTCCCCCTTGGTCCTCCTGGAAGCATCCCAGGGGGCTCTGAGGTTGAAATCACCTTGCCTGCTCTCCCCACTGTGCGCTTTATCCCTCCTTTTTCTTGGCAATTGATTTTTCACAAGTTCCACAGAGACAATCCCTTCAAAGTGCCCAAGTTGTATATTGAAGGGGCTGGTCAGTGATTTGAAACCAATGTTTTGGGAGTTTTGACACAACTGAATTTGCTCAAGGTTTTTTCATAATTAAAAAAATGCCAGATTTCCAGGGTTGTGCAAGCACACAATTCCAAAGAGTTGAAATGAGAAAGGCTTGCATAGGCAATGCTGGCTGTCAAAGCACAGCAGGAATCAACCATGGATATTAACCAATAGGGATTTTGAATAGTCTTGCCATCTGTTAATAGAAAGCAAAACAAGTGAATTTTGCACATAAAATGAGTGGTGTTTTCTCCTCTTCACAGGAAGATACTTAGGGTTTTTAGTGTTCCCCCTTTTCTTTCACTTTTCTACTCAGGAAAGAGAAGATAATGAGCTGGCCCCTTTTTGAAAGCACTTCTTTTGACAGTCATTTATCGATTTCTTAAATTTGTTTAAATTTAGCATCATGCCCTCTTTTCTTTCTTACAATTTCGGCATATTTCTGCATTTTTTGACAGGGAAATATATGCATAATCATGGTATTTCATAAAGCGAAACAACCCATCCTATGAGAAACAATCCAGGTTTCCATAACACAGCAATCCACTGTGGGTAGCCACCTACAATGAGTTGCTCTGTTGTGAGAAACCCATCACAGAGTGAGTTGAGAAAAGTCTCTTTTATCTTTCATAGGCTCCAAAGGTTCCTAAACCTAAAGTTTAAATTTAGATAAACTCTGTTCACACTATTACATTAAAAAGTAATTTGAAACAAACCTCACTGATTTAGAACAGAGGGTCCAAACCTTTTCTATAGCCCGCACCCCCATGAAATGTTTATGTTCACACCCCCTGCAAAAGTAATATCACATTTGAAGATGAATAAGTCAAATTTCTAATTTTGAACCATAAATTGAACTACATACTGTGGGTTAACAAACTGAACTCAAAAAGTTTTTAAGTCAGTGCACAAAATTCAAACATAAATTGAGCAGAGAACATTGTAAACAGTAAAATCAATTCCAATTGTGAACAAAAAGTTCTATTACTTCTTTGTTCCTGCTTCTCATTCACAATTTTGTCAAAATGTGGAACCTTCCTACTGATTGCGATCCACAAGTCTGACGGTGGATTCAGGCAATTCTTAGACTTTTGTCTTGACTGACAAAAGAGAACTGAACCCTAATGCAAATGAAATAATAACTGTATTATTGACATCATTTTGGGTAAAAAAAAATGTCACAGCTTTCCTCTTTGTCACACCCTCTGAAATGCCATCTTGCACCCACTGGGGAAGCAGGCACCCCAGGTTGGGAACTCGATTTAGAATGTGAGCATCATTTATTGTTGTCGTTAGTCGCGAAGTCGTGTCCAACCCATTGCGACCCCATGGACAACACTCCTCCAGGCCTTCCTGTCCTCCACCATCCCCTGGAGTCCACTTAAGCTCACACACAAATCAGAGGGCCTGTTCACCATAAGCACCTTTAATCTGGCAATTTGTTCAAGGAAGAGAACTCTTGGGCATTTCCCAGATTTTGCAGGTTTCTATTAATTTAACAGACAAAACTAATGCCGATTATCACAGTTTCATAGGCTAAGAGACAATGTCAACATGGGGCATGTCTATAAGGCAGACCTAATTGTTAAGATGATAGAAATTTAGCATTTCTAGTGGAGGATGAACTCTCAAAGCTCCCATATGAGGCACATTACCAATATAGCATAGCATGTTAACACAATTTTTAAAAAATCTATACATATTACCTAGAGCAAGACCAGCTTACATATTGAAATCTATTTGCCTGAATTCAGGTTGATCCTCAAACACTATCAGTGATATCACTGGCTCAAAGCAATTTCAGTATGAAAGAGAAAGAGAGGGAGGAGGGAAGGACTTCTTTAGGAATTCTGTCCAAACTGTATTTTGGCACATGGGTAGAGCTGTTAGAAAATGCAAACTGTAGGGTACTGAGCTTTTGGGGCACTTGGATAAGAGTCATACTAAAATGTAAGCCAACTGGGTTTAGATGACTGGGCTAACGCTATTTTTTATTCTGTGACTTTGCAAACCTAAGGTTTCTTCATCTATTTCCTGTCTTTGTAATCTCTCTTTCATTTCCTTATCGCTGAAACTATCTCTTATCTGACATTTGGAGTGCCCCGTTGCTTCCTGAATGTAAAGAAGTGCTTAAAAATGCACTTGTATCACCATTTCACAGGTCTTTAGTGCATGCTACTTCTGGAGTTTTTTTTCCCTTCTTATTTGTCTTTATATATAAAGACAAATGTCTCAAAGCATTGTTTCTATAGCACTTACTAGAGTGTTATAAATAACAAAAATTATCAGCAGCATGTACCAGTCGCATGTTGATCTTAGCCCTGAAAACTAATTTTATAAATCTCATCACCACCATGACAAGAGGGTTCCTTACCTGGTACTGTGAATTCCATGGATTTCTGGTTATGGTCTCCAGAAGTACTTAATTTGGGCAAGTGATATATAGTCACATGGTATTTCTGACCTGGCTGTACTTCAAAGCGGTTGAAAGAGAAATTCCACTAAAATGAGATAGGAGATCTTGTAAGAGATGCAAAATGCACTGAATTTAAGAACTGATTTTCTACTGAACAGCTACATTAGAACTGCCCCTGCCCCAGACAATCACAAATAAGATACAAATGCATGGGCATGGATTATTATTTCTACTTTCTGTAGTACATAATATAGTGCAGGCACCAAATAAATGCTAGTACGTCAAGATCATCTTCTTGCTCATGAACATAGAATTTTTCCTTACACCAAATCAGCCCAAATTAGCTCATTACTCCCTACAATCTAATCAGCAGTGGCTCTCCAGGATTTCAAGCAGGAATATTTCCAGTCCAACCTGGAGATTAAACCTGGAACATTTTACATGCAAAATATTTGCTCTGTAGAGAGAGAAAGGTTCTATAGCCTGGCAAAAGCAGTGACCGTGCTCAAAGAAGAGAAATACATCTCTGTTCCTAGGAACTGTTGAGGAACACTGTTCTTTACCATGCCATTTCTGGTCCTTTCAAGATGGCCAGTGATGTTTACACCAGTGCTACAGAACTATCCAAGTAGAAGTCTCATCAGTAGCCAATACACATTTTCCTTACCACTGCCTAATGATGAACAAGTTGGTTACTGCTTACGCAAAGCAAAGCAAAGCAAACAGAAGAGCAAACATACTGCTTTTGGCAGTAGCCAAAACTTCATGCTCCCACTCTTTCCTTCCCAATGCCATGCCTGCTCCCAATATGAGGTCTGTGGTTGCTCTGCACTGGCTACTCACAGTTCACATTCAGCAAGGGACATACTGAAGTAACTTTTATTTGTTGCAGATGACTGGGCATAGTTACAAAGCATTTCTTCAGTACAAAGCTATCCTTTTGCTTTGGAAATTGTTTACCTGTATAGGTAACAAACTGTTGGATCTAGGAAAGGTAGCAAGTAAAACATTTTTAATATCTTCATGATCACTTACCCGGCCTCCACCATTTGGACGGACTTGGAATAACAGGCTATTCAGGAAGTTGAACTGAGCACAGACCTGCTGGTTAACGTTCACCTGCAGCACTGACAATTCCACCCCTTTGAGATGCTGAATGCTTCCTTGTTGGTATAGCAAGAGAGAACAGAAACAAGACTGGTAAAGGAATAATTTGTTCTGTTTGTTGCCTTTGAAGATGCACTGCTCAACTGCAGTCTGAGACCTGACTGTGGAGGAAAAATGTATCTCTCATCACTGGCTTAGGAACGCAGAATGAGGGGAGGGCCAACTCAGCTATTGCTAAGGTTTACTGCTTTTGTCTGCAGTTAAAGTACAAAGGGAAAACTTGTGTTTTCTCCTATGAAAGAATTTAGAAGAGCAATAGTTCAGTGATAGCATGCAGAAAGTCACAAAAGTCTGATGGAAGTACTTCTTCAAACACAGATGTGTGCAATGGAATTCACTTCCTTAAGGTATGGTGATGTCTACTAACATAGACAGTTTAAAAAGGGATTAAAAAGTTTCACAGAGGACAAGGCTATTAATGGCCACTAGCCATGATGGCTATATACACCTCCAAGACCAGATGCTAAGAGACTTCAACTGCCAGTTTCTGAGGACCAATCTTAGGATAGGGCTATTGTCCTAACATCTTGGTTTGAGGACTTTCTGCATACATCTCATTGGCCATTATGAGAAACAGGATGCTGGGCTAGACAGTCCTTTGGTCTAATCCAGCAGGACTCTTCTTAATGTTCTTAGGTCTCAGGTTCATCTCCAGTTAAGGATTTCAAGTAATGGCTGGGAAAAACCTTCACCTTTGACCTTGATGGACTGCTACCAATCACAGTAGACAGTGCAGAACTACACGAATCAACAGTTTGATGCAGTATAAGGTTGCTTCATACATTCTTGTATCCAAACATTTTACTGTTACATAGGTGCATATGTTTAGCTTGGACCTATTACTTAATTTTCTCTATCTGTTCCAGTGTTTTAAGATTATCAAAATAATCGATTGATGCCGTCTCTTCTTTCTTCTGTATTCAAAGTGAAATACTGCCATTTCAATTTCATCCTGACTTTGCTCTGAATTGCTTACATTTTTGCTTCTGAAATATGTAGATGCAATTGTAGTAGATTTTTAGTAATAAAAGTTGGTCACCAGGGCATCACACAACTGCCAAACCATTCACACAAACACTTCAGAGATAGAGCCAGCTACTATTGCAAGGCCGATGAACTACATAATGCAGACTTATTACCCTCAGCAGATACCAGTCCTTTCAGATGAATATTAAAACACCCCTCACTTACCATCAGTAGCCACCTTCCAGTCTATCTGCAGTACAGGGAGCAGTTTCCCTTCCATGCCAAAGAAAGTACCAATCTGGACATTAAGGGAACTTGGGGCTGACGGAGTCCAGGTTGAAACTTTGAGCCAGCTCTGATCCATGCAGGTACCTGCCAGTTAAACAAACAAAAATCAAACCTGTTTCTGAGGTAGTAACTGATTTTTCTTTGGACTAGTACTTTGGACTGACTTGCTGCTTCCCTGTAACAGCACCCTCAAACTTGAAGAGACTGAAGTCAAGCCACTACTGTTAGCAAGGTTGGAGGACAGATCAGAAGGCAAAAAGTGCTACTGATAAAAGGTTGGTTAGATTGAAAAATACGATTGACAGAATAATGCTTAGCATAAGACTCCAGCTCTAAAATGAAATGGAGACGGATGCAAATTTTTAAAAATGGACTTACTGTTTTGCACAAGGCAGTGTAGACCCTGCAGGAGAAAACACAAGCATATTACTGAAATGAACAATAAATGAAAATCTGAATAATGATTTCAGAGAATTGAAACCTAGAAAACAGACAACTGACGTTTGTGTAGCTAGGTGAAACATCATTGCTAAAAAGCTGTAATATATCTTTTATCCCTACCCCACTACTGTTTCATACACAAGAACACCAATCAAGAAGTGGACTTTGGTTCCAAGCCAATTTTTTTGCATTTGAATTACATAAATAAACCAAGTAATTTAAACTCTGCATAATAAACCCTTTGCCTAAATGTTATTAAGTTATTTAAACAAACACCACCATCTGATTTTATCTGAGAGTTAGTTCTCCTTAATAATGAATAAACTAGGCATCGAAATCCATCCTTTAGCACTCATCATGGCCGGGCCCAAGAATATGGGGCATAAGACACAGTAGGCCACCACTTTACTAAAGCTGCAAACTCATGCAACTTTAGATAGAAAAAAGGCCTACAATGCCTAGCATGCTCCAACATGACTGGCTGCGGTATGCTGGGAGGTGTAGGCCTTTTTCTATCTAAACAGGCATAGAATTGAATCCTAAGGGAAAAAAATTTAATGATTAAATGATGTAGGGGGTGTGTGTGTGTGTGTGTGTATGGAATATGCATTGGATTTGACTGAAGCCTGAGCCAAACTGCACCCTTTCTCACCATTTTGATGCTTCTCAAAGCAGTGGGGCTTTTCTTGGAAGTGACCAGAACTGAACTTGTCTTCACCAAGGCTTCATTGTGCAATTCAGGCTGTGATAAATACATTCTGTCCTTTCTCATAATGGCACGCTTTGGTTTCATTACACTAAAGGATGAT